TCTGCAATGGTGCCCCTCAACTGATATAACATTACCTGTACACGTGTCTGCAATGGTGCCCCTCAACTGATATAACATTACCTGTACATGTATCTGCAATGGTGCCCCTCAGCTGATACAACCCCGTGGTGAAATGTGGCATGCTCATCACTAGAGAGCCACACCCCATGATGAATGCTGCTGTCGACAGCAATCTGGAAATATGAACAGTTTATTACTGAATATATCCGAAAAATATGAGTCTCTGATTTTCCTTAAAATGCTTTGAAAATAATACTTGAAAGTGCTGATTCAAGAGAAAAGTTGGTATCCTTCTTGCCAGAAGGTACATTGCAGTATGTGTTTGAAAGTGACACAGGTATCAACAGAATAAAATATTATATAAATGTTGAAATTTGTATGGATGTGACTAAACTAATCAATGAGACATGTACATAAATGGAAACGTAATTAATTTAACCAATGTTGTCCATCAGCAATCACCCTACAGGATACTTCCCGTGGGAGGGGTCTCTTACAAACAGAGTTTTTTTACAGAAGAGTGCATGGAATAGGAGCATTTCTTTCTTTTTTTTTTTTTTTTTTTTAATATATATAAAAATTCATTTGTTTAAGTTTTCTGCGGTTGAAATCCAAGATCTAATGCATTCTCAAACAAGAATTGCGTTGTGTTGGGCAGTTGCCCTGAAGCCTGGTTTGGTGGCGGATGAGTGTGGGCACATTGTTCACAAGGCAAAAATGCACTGATGTACTTGAATATATTTACGTACCTCGGTTTGTGCGCGTGCGCCCCAAAGTAACTAATGAGGATGACGGTGGTCCCCGCCGCAATGTCGTAGGCGCTGGAGACGAGGCCCACGCGAGAACTGGGCAGGTTAAAACGCCTCTCAACAGACGTGGTGTTCACATTGTTGATGCCATTCACAACAAGACCTGGAAAGAAGGAAAACCAGGATTCATATAATGCACACCACCATCAAGATAAAGATGTATGCAGGCATTCCATTTACAGCCATAGGGTGCTTTCCCAGAGATTTAGATCGATCTAGAGATTAAGATTTAGATCGACCTAACTCTCTGGGGGTTCACGCTAAATTGCAGTCAGCCGAGCGGGCACCATAGTTAATTACCCCCTTACAGATTTTAGTAGGCGGGACAGACGCTTAAGCCGGCCAAGCTGACAGTAATCTAGTGAGACTCCCCACAGGGATAGCTCGATCTAAAAATCTATGGAAATGGGGTGATAGATTAAGCTGGTAAAATACATTTACTATGTCGCAAGGGCACAAAATTGGACTACCTTGGAATAAGTCCTTGTGATTAGGTCGAAACGTCGTGATCTCCATTTCAAATTAAGATCCAGTATTAGATTTCTCATTATCTCAGCATGATGTGATTGGATGAATCGAAATATTAATTTTGATAAATACTAGATTTCTTCGATTCGTGAGAAAAAGAGAATAATTAGAAAAAAAAATCAAAAGAAAAACAAAAAGGTAGTTTATTCACCTTGTATCGTAGTAAACCAGCACATGAAGACGAGAAAGGCTTTCGGGTTGTTGCACACCTGTAGCCAGCCCGGTCTGCACCCCCTGTAGCCGCACCCAGGGGGAAACTCCGGCTCTAGGCGGAACTCGCGGTCAGCTTCGGCTTCTATCGCCTTTTGTCGGACGGGATCGTCAATTTCCGTCGACATGTAGCCATTATCGCTAGTCCGTTTTAGCTCAAATCCTTTCGAAGGCATCTTTTTCTCTCTATATCTACTGTCTGGTTTTGGTGGTGATATTTTCGTGCGTTCCTAAAGTTTTAATGTGTGCGTTATAATGAAGTAATTCACATCCGGTCAGATATCAGACCGCCGGCGTGTCATTATTTATAACTAATATTCCAGGTATTGATTTGCGCACCTGTATCCATTGACGTGACGTAACGTTGACGTGAAGTAAGTTTTGAAAAGAATCACATATAATATCCGTATCCTGCTTAAAAATTAATATATGTTTGAAGTCCTCTCATCGCTGTGTGTGTCTTATAGGAATTCTGTTTCACTAGATATCCAGTAAAGTGTATATCGGAGTGATCAGTCTCCACTTGGTCTCTGACAATGTTCACTTGGTCTTTTACACTGTTCACGACGTTAAGGTATATCGTTTTTTAATCATATACTTCCACAGATAACCACGCAAGGGTAGGTTACGCAAGACGTTCAATTCTTGTTAATAATGCACGAGCCATCACGTTCCATTGTTTGAATGAAGCCGGCTGTCTTCGTCATATTAGACAATATAAGGCTTCTGAAAAATAAAAATAGAACGAAATAAAACAGTTTTTACGTGTATATGTAACACATTTAAGTGTACCCGCACAAAAATGCAGTAGTATCGAGGTAGCATAATAGCATTAGTGCAGCAGTGGTGTGAAATATGTTTGTAGTAGAGATGCAGTATAGCCTACTGTACTTCTACGCAAAAAACACATAGGGATGTACAGAGAGGGGAGAATTAATGCTAATTAAACTACTTTTGCAACTCAGGCTGCATTTTAATCCGATGATTCTTTTTTTGTAAATTTGAAAATCATAAGAAACATGGTTTTCCCTTAATGGTAATTATGGCGGCAGTGCCCAAAATAGGGTTTTCTTCAATTTTGATACAATATAACATAATGCTTAACAGCATAATGGCCAGCAATTTTAAATAATAAAATATAAGTATCAGGGATATTCAGAAAATGTGACTAGCAAAGGTTTTCAAGCCCGTGGAAGTTCAAAGTCACCTTAGAAATGCCAATATGTGAAAATTAAAATTTCACAAAAAATGCGTTACTTCCAGAAAAACCAACCAAACAGACAGGTTTTCTAACTGAAGCTGTATTTTATACCTATGTTTCTTTTTTGTAAGTTTGAGAATAGTAAATGACATGCAGGGCGGATCCAGAGATATTTCTGACAGTCTTCCACATTATCTTTGTTGATCCATCCTCCTATTTTTGACCGTTTTCCGACAGAAAAAATAAGGTACTCATCAATGTAAACTTAGAAATTTGACCGTCTTCCGGAAGACCCAGAAGACCGCCTCAATCCGCCCCTGACATGGTTTTCCTTTAATGGTCATTATGGCAGCAGTGCCCAAAATAGGATTTTCTTCAATTTTAATGCAATATTACATAATGCTTAACAGCATAGTCACCACCAATGTTTAATTATGCATTGTAGATAACATGGATATTTGTTATCGATTACTTGCTTTCCCGCAGTGCCACTGATGTGAATGGGCTCTTTTACATTCTTTTTTCTTTCTGTAGTCAGCAATTATTCCCTACATGTAGTCTTCCCAACATTCAGTAACAGATCTTACCAGTTGCTGCCGCAGTACGTGCACCCCTGCGGTACAGTGTATCCACGCCCGTAGCCAGCAATTTCAAATGGGGGTTCTTTTTCTGAAAAAGTGGACCTTTTACCATGAAATCTTAGTGATAAGATAAGATAGACAACATTTTACCCAGAGGGGACCTTTTCCCGGCAAAATGGGTGTCCTTTCGACCCCCCGAACCCCCCCTCCCCCCTCCGGCTACGGGCCTGGTATCAAATTTAATTTATTTAATACATAGCCAGCAGTTACATTGGCTGAGTTTTCACGGTCTGGCTTGTGCATGTACCCTGAGGAAATTAGGTTATCTCAAGACGTGGGGTGGTGGGGTGTGGGGGGGGGGAGGAGTGTGAACTAGGTGCCTTGTCTCTCTCCGGACCCGCTTATATCGATTCATGTAAACAGAACTCATTGATAGAAGTTGTAAAGTTAAACTTTAAACCGTCGTTATCATCAAAGTGCACTGACGGCAGGTGATATATATATATATTGTACATGTAACCAGGCCAAGGCCTGCTCTACGTACTTTGCACTTACGTCACTGTCTGCAGTTTTGAATGGTGATACTGTGGTACATGGAGGCAAAAAATAGCCATTTCCCCCCCCCCCCTCCCCACAGTGCTTAAGGGCTTATAGTGTACAGAGAAATGTGACATAATTCAGTAAAATATCAGTAAAGCCCAACCTTATTTTAGTTTAACCGTCAGTTGCCCTGTGGCGACACTGATTTGTAGCAGGTTGGTCAGCGAAATTCAACTCTGTGTTTAAATAACTTCCTTGTGGATGACAACGGGTGGCATAGTCCCCCCCCCCCCCACCACACACACACACACGCACACACACACGCACACACACACACAAACACATAACGCAAACTCACCCGCAGTTCTTAAAAATACAGCGAGTTTTACCAGTTTTAAAAACGTAACCAAGTGGAGGAAAACAGCAGATAGTATTTACATGTATATAAGTGGAAATTCCACAATCAGCATGTTTTGTGATTAATGAAAATTTGGTAAAACTCTTTTGGAAAGGGGCCTTCTTTGAAAATGGTTTTCGCCACGTGTAGGTCACCATACCTGTATGCAGAACATATAATTATAATAATAATTATAGTAATAAGTCAACAAAAGAGTGACCCTTAACACGGACACGCCCCCTGAGTACACGTCGTGTATATCAACGTCCCAAGGCCGCCTGCACCGAGCCACGGGTTCTAAAGCGCAATAAGAAAACCGTCAACGTGCCCCGCGGAGCACGCCACTAGCGTGGGCGCCAAATACGGGCAACAACCACGACCAGACGGGACCGCGTGACGTCCCTGTTGTAGGAGCTGACCCGGCGGACCCGCTGACCAAGTTGGTCATACACGTAGCGTGTGGAGAACGTTGAAGGTCTGCGGAATATTCAGAAAGTTGTACAGAAAAATTACCAGGTACTTTACCTGAACGGATGACTGCCCTGGCAATGACGTTATAGACGTAGATCAGGTCAATGCCCCGCTACATCTTGTAATATACGGCCCGCGATAACGCTTATCTTACTCGTTTGGAACAAATACGTACCAATTCAGCTCTCTACGGCGGCGTATCACGCGCCGCCGCTGACTAAAATACTTAAAATGTTCTTCATTTTACTTGGAAACGAAATTTTCCTTGAACTACCTTTATCTAGACTTTTTGGGTAACCAAATTCATAGATATGTCACGCTCTTCCCAAGGTTCCCATATATTCACTGTATATACATGCACCAGTTGACGTTTTAACGCTTACCTTACCTTCGGATGAAATCTGCCTTCTCACTCGACCTGCTGCAGGATATATCCCTGGATGACATCTTCATAGGACAAGTAGCTCCACTGATAAAAACTGATAGCAACCACGAGGCAGATGCTGCGGGGGGGGGGGGGGGGGGTGCAGCGACACGGGCCGTCAATCTTACCGAATCAGAACCGAAAACTACAGTCGATTTTTTGTGTCTGTGCATGTATGTCGTCTGCCTTTTTACACTTATCAGAACAAAACCTTGCCACCAGTCTTAATGAGAAAGGAAAACATACATGGGGAAATATTCTCTTGGAAGTTCAGATTAGTTGTAACAAAGTAGGACCGTCCCTAGATCGTTCCAAACTAGACCATTGTAAACGTGTCCCTGACGGATCTTGTCTCAGGCGACATCAGTGGTCAGAACATTCTTTGGGTGGGCAAGTAACCGGAGGAGCAAGGCGCAGATATCCTTAATAGTCTGACTTAAATGTCCTAATATTGTGTACAGTTATTAAAAGGCTGGTTTGATATAGGCTTTTCTGATCGTTTGTTTATTTTTTCTTTTCTGTTTTTTTCTCCTCTCTCTCTCGTAAAGAAAATATATTGGAGGTAGCAAATGTAAAATTCAAATGAAAAAATCAAATACAAGACAATGCAAAAAACAGACGCTTTAGACTGTAGCTATATGTTGCAGAGTGCTGGCCGGGAATTATATATATAGCAAGATTATTGCAAGAAAAGTGAAAGGGTTTATCATAAGAACGACAGACCAATTTTTCAGAAGTTCGCGCCAGTGAGGGCGCATTCACATGGTAGATAGATCCGCCCCTTTCACCTATCTCAGTAGATACCTCAATTGACTTATTGCATTGGCTAAGCATTATCTAAAATTTACCTCAACTGTTTACTGATTGGCAGCGTACAATAATTACGACACTTTCCTGAAACTACTGACGGTAGAGGTCTCACTGAACCACAAAGAAGGAAGTACAACCAGGATTTCCTGTAGTATATCCTAGCAGCTGAATTCCTTGGCATAGGCTGGGATATAATTTTAATGATATTGATGGTCTATACTACATCAAATACACTGAGAATGACATAACAGACCATTATATTGCCCCTGGTGGCTTTCTATAAATTACCCTTCAGTTCATTTGTAATCATAAATTTATTTCTCTTATTTGTAGCCAAATTAATGACATCGATGGGAGGTTTCGGCAGAGAAATACAAGCAGCAGTGCACAGAGGAAATTCTGACATTCCAACGGCCACGTATAAACCATGAGTCACACGTGCCATATACAGCAGAAAACAATTGATCCTTCTTATCATAACCAACAACAACAATAAAGATCACATTATAGAAACGCCTGACATTTAGACACAGTCAAACCATTGTTTCAATAGTGATAGGAATAACACAAAATGAATACACCAACAAGATATGTGTAGCGATTGTTAGATGAATGTAAACATGCACACATATTTTACTCCAAGGAGTGCTCGCATATACTGAAGACTACGCAATACTGTTGTCGACTTTTTTAGCGTTTGTTGCATTATATCAAACTCAAAATAATATCATTTAAATATACGTAGAATATAGAATATCACTTTTTTCACTTGCCGAGTTAAGAGTCGAGTTAAGAGTTAAGAGTCGAGTTAAGATGTAAAGATGTAGTTTCATCATGTTAAAAAGGTTGATTTTAAATTAACTAAAAAGAACACAGGTTAAATTCAAACAGCAGAACTCTCCTGCGCGGTCTGCTTGAGATGCACCTGCAAATCAAGGCTGATAAGATCAAATCTTGGATAGGGCGCAAGGTGATGACGCGAGGTTTTACCCCCGGAGGGGGGAGGGGGTATTAGCAGAGTTTATGAAGGGGATTGTGTACTGCAGTTGCTGTGTGAGCGGGGGGGGGGGGAGCCATGTGAATATTGGGCACACATGGAAAAAAATAGGAGTGATGGTTTTGAATCACGCAAATACAAACATTTCAAGATATGCCCTGGTAATATAGATATCAAACTTTAATAACGACCTGATAATAACCGGTCGTTTAGTTTAAGCTATCGTACGATTAAATTTTGCTAGGCACAGCAAGACGTACACAACGCTGAGCCCAAGCGATAGTGGGCTTAAGGGGTCCTA